ACTCACACACATTCATACACACTCTCACACACACTCACTCTCACACACACTCACACACTCACACACTCACACACTCACACACTTACACAGTCACACGCTCACACTCTCACGCACTCACACACTCATGCGCACACACACAGACACACAGACAGACAGACACACACACACACACACGACACACATACACACACGACGCACAAACACGACACACACACACACGACACACAACACACACACACACACTCAACACACACAACACACCTACACCCACACCCACACACACACACACACACACACGCACCCGCACACGCACCCGCACACGCACCCGCACACGCACACGCACACGCACACGCACACGCACACGCACGCGCACACGCACGCGCACGCGCGCACGCGCACACGCGCACGCACGCGCACACGCGCACACGCGCACGCGCGCACGCCGGGACGCGCCGGGACGCGGGTTACGGCGGCAAGCCCGGTCGATTTGAGAATTTGGGGTCCTGGTCCATTAAAGACCCCTCAGGATGAGGACTGCGGCTCAGGGGATGAGGCACACGACCTGAAGACACGCCAACTCCGTGCCCGAGCACGGTGGCGGATATCACCAGCGCATTAACTTGCTATATTATTTCCTGCCTAGGCTCTGCCTAGAAAGGTTCTTACTCGCTTGGCTTCAAGGGGCCGGGCAGTGCAAACCGCCCCGGGCGGTTCCCCCAGTCCCCTGGGAACCGAGCAAAAGCAACAGCAAAGGTAAAAGCGAGCGCGCGGTTCCCCCAGTTGCGCTCCCTGGGTGCCAGTAAAAGCAAAAGCAAAGGCAAAAGTGAAGGCAAAAGCGAAGGCAAAGTAAAAGCATAGCATAGCATAGCATAGCATAGCATAGCATAGCGCAGCATAGCAGAGCGCAGCATAGCGCAGCATAGTATCGCATAGGATAGCCTAGCCTAGCCTAGCCTAGCCCAGCATAGCATTGCGCAGCATAGCGTAGCATAGCACAGCACAGCACAGCAGACCAGAGCATAGCATAGCGCAGCACAGCATCTACTATTGCTGCTGCTCTATATATTTATATATGTACTTATATGTGTGTGTGCGCACGTCTGTTCCATACATGTTGTCTGTCGGTGGGCCATCTTGAGCCCTTAGTGGGGCAGCTTGAGCCCTTAGGACTCACGAAGGTTTCGCACATAGCACAGGCCAGGAGACATGAAACCCGACGTATTATCGCATGTCCTAAATGTATTTCTATATATGCAAATATATGTGTAATATATACCTAACACCCATGTGGAATGCTGCATGTGTTTGTGCGTGTGTGTGTGCATGTATTTGTTCAACACCGCGTCGTAATGCCTTTCACCCTCGTTGCCGTTCAGCCTCAATTCCGTGACGCGGGGCGGTGGCGATGTAGATGTAGGTGTAGATATATATGTAGATGTGAAGAACTCCCCAATGCCCCGCCCTCATCTCCGTGCCTGTTTGCTTTTGCTACTGTCTCGGCGACTTGCTGTCTGCGCGCTGCTACTACTAATACTACTACTACTACTACGACGACGACGACGACGACGACGACTACTACTACTACTACTACGACTACTACTATTACTGCTACTACTACTACTACTACTACTACTACTACTACTACCATTACCACTACTACTACTACTACTACTACTACTACCACTACTACTACGACTACGACTACTACTACTACTGCTACTACTACTACTACTACTACTACTACCAGTACTACTACTGCTACTACTACTACTACTACTACTACTACCAATACTACTACTACTACTACTACTACTACTACTACTACTACTACTACCGCTACTGCTACAACTACGACGATGAGGAGGAGGAGGAGGACAGCGTTTACCGCTCCTAATGTTGCTTTCCTAATGGCTCCAACTCCTAGGTAGGGTCGCACTGGGATAATCCGTGTCATGTGTATTATAATTCGTGTTATCAGCGTTATTCTGTTTAGTCTTAGTAGTACTACGACCACAACGTCCACTTCAACTACTACTACGACTACTGTTACCACTTCTACGACCACCAGTATTACTACTACTACTACTACTACTACTGCTACTACTACTACTACTATAACTACTACTACTACTAATACACATTCTACCCCAACTATTGTTACCACTACTACTACTGGGGCATCCTCGCCTCGCTCTGATGCCCGCGCAGCCCCCAGTTGCGCCAACACTGTTTCTTATGTTGTGGGAGGGCGGGTGGGAATGGGCATGCCATGATTGATTCGCTCGCCATGTTAAACCTGACCCACACCCACACCCACACCCACACCCACGCCCGCACACCCGCACACCCGCACCCACATCCACACCCACACCCACACGCAGACGCACGCGCACGCAACACACACACGCGCACACGCACGCGCACACGCACGCGCACACGCACGCACACGCACGCATGCGCACGCACACGCACGCACGCGCACGCACAAACACACACACACACACGCACGCACGCGCACACGCACGCACACGCACGCACACGCACGCGCACGCACGCACGCACACGCGCGCGCACGCACGCGCACGCACGCGCACGCACGCGCTCGCACGCGCACGCACGAGCACGCAAGCGCACGCACGCGCACGCACGCGCACGCACGCGCTCGCACGCGCACGCACGAGCGCGCACGCAACACACGCACGCGCACGCACGCGCACGCACGCGCACGCACGCGCGCGCACGCATGCGCACGCACGCGCACCTATGCGCACGCAAGCGCACGCACACGCACGCACGCGCACTTACGTGCACGCACGCTCACGCTTAGATTTGCGTACGCCCGCACACGCATGCACATGTACGCACACGCACGCACGCCCAAGACACTCGCACACGCACGCACGCACGCAAGCACGCAGTCACGCACAGACACACACACACACACACACACGCACACACGCACACACACATACACACACTCGCACACACGCGCACGCACACGCACACGCACACGCAAACACACAAACACGCACACACACACACACGGCCGCCCCCCCCACCAACACACACACACACACGCACACACGCACACACACACACAACACGCCCACACCCACACACACCCACGTACACAACACACAACACACACAACACACAACACACACAGACAGACAGACACACAGACACACACGACACACACACACACGACACACACACGCACACGCACACTCACACACGCACGCACGCACGCACATGCACACGCACACGCACACGCAAACACACGCACACACACACACACGCACACACACACACGCCGCCCGCGCACCCCCCCCCCTCCCGCCCCCCCCCCCGACACACACACACAACACACAGACAGACAGACAGACAGACAGACAGACAGAGAGACAGACACACAGGCAGACAGACAGACAGACAGACAGACAGACAGACACACACACACACAGACAGACAGACACACACACACACATTCACACACTCATTCACACACACACACATTCACACACATTCACACACATTCGCACACATCCACACACATTCACACACATTCACACATTCACAAGTCCACACATTTACACATCCACACAAACAACACACAACACACACAACAAACACCACACACAACACACAACACACAACACACACCACACACACACACAACACACAACACACAACACACATCGCACAACACAACACATACATCACACAGCACACAACACACACAACACACCAACACACACACACAACACACCAACACACACACACCACACACACGTAGACACACACCCACACACAACACACCAACACACACAACACACCAACACACACACATCCACACACTCTCACACACTCACACACATTCATACACACTCTCACACACACACTCACTCTCACACACACTCACACACTCACACACTCACACACTCACACACTTACACAGTCACACGCTCACACTCTCACGCACTCACACACTCATGCGCACACACACACAGACACACAGACAGACAGACGCACACACACACACGACACACATACACACACGACGCACAAACACGACACACACACACACGACACACAACACACACACACACACTCAACACACACAACACACCTACACCCACACCCACACACACACACACACACACACGCACCCGCACACGCACCCGCACACGCACCCGCACACGCACACGCACACGCACACGCACACGCACACGCACGCGCACACGCACGCGCACGCGCGCACGCGCACACGCGCACGCACGCGCACACGCGCACACGCGCACGCGCGCACGCGCACGCGCACGCGCACGCGCACGCGCACGCACACGCACACGCACACGCACACGCACACGCACAGAACATACACGACATACACAACACACACACGACACACGCGCAGCACTCACAACTCACACGCAACACACGCAACTCTACATAGATGACAGAATTCTCCACATTTGTCTATATTTCCCTGGCGTCCTTGTTCCCCTTCCTTGTTTTACATGTTCTATAGATGTCAATGGACATCGGCGTTTAGTGGTGTGTTATGTGTGTTTCCCTCCCGACACGGCAGCGCATAGAAGTCAGGAGGCAAAGCAGGGGGGCGGCCTTCTGATGAGGCAAGCGGCCTCCGAGAGGGGCTCGACGGCCCAGCAAAGGCCTCCCAGCAGGCGCGAGGCACCTCTGAGAGGCCCCCGTGCCTGCTTGAAGGCCGACCCCCGACGTCGTTTTTTTTTTTTTTTTTTTTTTTTTTTTTTTTTTTTTTTTTTTTTTTTTTTTTTTTTTTTTTTTTAAGACGTGGCCTCCCAAAAATCTGGGGACCCCTTCCCCAGGGGCAAGCTCTTCATCCTGACTCGTTCTTTGACGGTGCCGAGGCCCGGCAGTCTCCCCCAGAGGCCGAAAACAATGAAAGACCTCCCGTGTGCTGTTTTTTCTGCGACGCGAGGGGGTCTGGGCTCCCCCTTGCGAGCGCCGCCGGTCGCCAAGGGACATCTTGGCGATGGTGTCCGCGGCCTTCGCCCCCGCCGCCTCCCACGACAGCGGCCGCAGGCCCGGCGCCTCGTCCACCGCGGGCGGCGGCATCTCCAGCTGACGCAGCGGCGCCGCGTCGGCCACGGCGACGGACTGCAGCTGGCGCAGCGGGGCCTCCTGGTGTTGCTCCTCCTCCTCCTCCTCCTCCTCCCTCCTCCTCCTCCTCCTCCTCCTCCCCTCCCTCCTACTCCTCCTCCCTCCTCCTCCTCCTCCTCCTCCTCCTCCTCCTCTCCTCCCCTCCTCCTCCCTTCCTCCCCCCCCCCTCCTCTTCCTCCTCCACCTCGTCCTCCTCCTCCTCCAACCTCCTCCCCCTCCTCCTCCTCCTCCTCCTCCTCCCCTCCTCCTCCTCCTCCTCCTCCTGCTCTCTCCTGCTCCTCCTCCAACCTCCTCCCCCTCCTCCCCCTCCTCCCCCTCCTCTTCTCCTCCCCCTCCTCCTCCTCCTCCTCGTCCTCCTCCTCACCCTCCTCCTCCTCCTCCTGCTGTCCAGGTCGAGGGTGCCCGCAGCCCGCCCCAGCAGGGCGAGCCAGGCCCACGGCGCCAGGGGAAGCACGCCGGGCGCGCGCATGGCGGGCGCGCGGGATGGGCTGCTCGGGCGCGGCGGGCCTCTTGCTGCAGAGCGGCTCGGGCCCCAAAGTGCCTGCTCGGCGGGCCAGCGATGGGGTCCTGTGGGATGGGGAGGAGCAAGGAGGAGGAGGAGGAGGAGGAGGAGGAGGAGGAGGAGGAGGAAGAGGATGGGGGCCCGAGGGTAGGAAGGGATCGTTGCTTGGGGTCCCTCGTCCTGAGGACCCCCAACCCCCTAGGATCTCAGCTTCGACCCGCCGAGCTGCGAGGGGGCGGGGGGAGGGGGTCCCACGGGCCCTCCGAAGCGTGGGCGGGCTGATTCATGGTCAGCCATTATTGTCCCCCGTCGGAGAAGAGGTCTGCCACTGCTCGTGACCTTTGCTCGTCCCCTTGCCCCCGCTCTTGGGGCCCCCGACCGGCACCAACGCTGGTGCGCGGCGGAGAGAAAGCGAGGACCCGACAGCGCCCCACGGCGCTCGCACGGGCCCAGGGGCCCCTCGGGGGCTCTCGGGGGTCCTCGGGGGTCCTCGGGGGTCCACGGGGGCTCTCCGAGTCCAGGGGGTTCCCCTTCCCCGGGGGCTCTCCAGGCACGGGCCCTCCGCGAGCTCCACGGGGGCCCCGAGCGTCCTGGGAGTTCCGGGGGAGCCCAGGGGCTCCAAGAGCCCCGTGTGGGCCCCTGAGCGTCCCAGGGAGGCCCGGGGGCCACAGGGGGTCCCTGCGCGGGGCCCGCGCCTCGCCCGCACGCTCCTTTGGGCCACCCCCCGTGCTCACCACGGCGGCGCTCGTGCGAGGAGCCAAGGTCGTTGGGCGAGGAGTGCTGGGCCTCGGCCACTCTGGGGGTGCCCCCCGAGCTCGGGGGTCTGCGCAGACCCGGGGTTGGGCTGCCCCGGAGCCTTCGAACTCCCCCTTCTGCTCCATCCTCCCGGCTCCCTGCTCAACGCCGTGTCTTCCTCCCTCGCAGCTCCCTCCCCCGTTCGTCCCTCCCGGATCCCTCACCCTTCCCCGCGCCTCCGATTCCCTCTTCCGTCCTCCGTCGGCGGCGAAGCTCGGGCGCAGGTGCTCGTCATCCGACGGCTAGTCCGTGCTCGCTGAAGTGCGTTTGCACAGGGCGCCGACGAACCGTGGGGCGTACGGCAGACCTGCCCTATCTCGGGGGCGTCAAAGAAGGGGGCGTCCAAGAGAGGGGCTCGCAAATCATGGCCCAAGGCAGGTACGCGGAGGAGGGGGGGACCGGGGTACGCGTTGAAATTCGCCGGCCCAACGGGCCAGAGGCGTGCCAAGATCTCCGGTAACTGTTTAACAATGTTCTACTTCGCGCGCGTGGCGGCCCCTCGGGGTCCCTGGACGAAAAATACCCTGGCCGATCCCCGGCGGATCCCCGGGCGATCCCTGGCCAGGTCCCCCAGAATGCTCCAGGGGAGGGCAATTTTTCGACACCCCTCACAAGGATCGTGGCTTCGAGGGGGGAGCCGCAATCGATCACCCCTCCTCTCGCCCCCGCGAGCTTCCCAAGAGGCTCCAGGGCCCCCAAAACGCCGCCAAGGAGCTCCAAGAGGCCTCCAAGCGGCCCCAGGAGGCCCCCCGAATGCCCCCCCCAGCACGCAAGCAAGTGCCAGCGATGCTACAATATGGGCCGGCGGAATAAGCGAAACGATTGAATAATCATAATAGTAGCGATACACATAATAATGCACATGCTGATAAGAAGAAATTGCCATAACATCTGCGGAGGTATCATGGCCCTGGCAGTGAATGCCCCCCTAATCACCCCCCCTCTTGGCCGCCCCAGCCGTCCTCCTCTTCCTCTCTCCCCCTCCGTCCCCCCTCCGCTGGGGGACGCACGCTCTCTCCCCCTCCTCTCCCCCTCCTCTCCCCCTCCTCCCCCCCTCTCCCTCTCCTCCCCCCTCCTCCCCCCTCCTCCGAAGGCGTGCGTCCGACCCCCGGCATACAGCACAACCATCCTGTAGTGCACCGTCTCCCGAGCGGTACGGCCAGAAGGCCCCCGGCCACGCCACACACGCTGCGAGATTCCCCGGAGCGCGCGCCGCCCCCTGGGGGGGGGGGGGGGGGGGGGGGAGCGCGCGCCGCCCCCTGGGGGGGGGGGGGGGGGGGGGCGACGCGCACACAGTATTCGTACACCCGGGGCCCGACCACCAGAAACGTGAATGGGGCCCAAGGACACACAGATAAGTATAGACACGCGCACACATAACAGCATTCCCAACATTTTCCCATATTTTCGGAGTTTTTGTCTCCCCCCCCCACTTCCCATATTTTCCCATCTTTTCCTGGGAGTCGACGATTCATTGTGTCTGTGTGTTTTTTCCCCTCCTGAAGCCTTCCACAAGAAACCCAACCCTGAGACCCCAGGACGTCCACTGAATTTCTGGTGGGGGAGCGCCACGCTCTCCGTGGCAGCAGGGTGTTTCTTGGCATGGGCCCCAGAGGCGAGCAGGGTGTTTCTTGGCATGGGCCCCCACTGCATGCTGGGGTGACGCCGATCCTCTCCCCTTGGGACAAGCAGGGGCCCCGGTGGTCCCGCCCGCGGCCCGCCCGCCGACGAGCATCCGTGGCACGAGGCCCCCGCCGTGCAGCTGGCCCTGCCCGTGCCAGGCGCGGGCCTGCACGGCGGCCCCGGGGAGCGGGAGGTCCGTCGAGGCACGAGCCCAGCTCTCCGACGATGCAGCCAGCCCGTGGAGCAGGGGCGCGCGGTAAGGATGCGTGGGCCTCGGAAGGCCACGCTGACGTTCTTCGACCGAGGTTGGCCAGCGAACGTCGCTCGGGACCGGCCGAAGGGGCAAGGATGCAAGGGTAACGCTCGAAAGTCGCTCATCCGTGCTATGCAGGTTTTTTTGTTTTCTGGCCCGGGCGCTTTCCCTCGACTTCGGCCTCTGGGGCCTGCTGTCGGGTCCCTGGGCCGGCAGGAACGGCTCCGTGGCGAGAAGCTGGCCAGGTGGAAGGGGTCGGGACCTCTGGGGCCGCAAGCTGAAAACAACATCTCTAGAGGCCTCCTAGATGGGGTCCGAATAGATGTGGTCGGGGGATCGCGCCGCATCGGCGATGCATCCGCGATGCACCCGCGATGCACCGGCGACGCCAGCGCGGAGAAGATCACGCCGCATCGCCGATGCTCGCGATCCGTCCGCATCGCCGCATGCCGGCGCGATCCTCCGACTTCATCTGCCCGACCCATCTTGGCGACGAGATCTATGCATATCCACTGCTCCTGGCCAGGCCAATCCTGGGCCCAGGAGCGGTGTATACGCCCTCCTGGCCTGGCCAGGGAGGCATATACACAGCTCCTGGGCCCAGGATGGGCCTGGCCAGGAGCAGTGGATATGTATAGATCTCGTCGCCCTACCATCTGGGAGGCCAGCCGGCCTAGAAACATATCGGCGGATGTTTGGGAGGTGGGCAGGCGGCGCAACCACGCCAGCCAGGCTCTGGAGTGCAGACTGCGGCGGAGGCGGCGACGGCTCGCCCGGGCCACCAGGCCCGAGCAGCGCGCCTCTCGCGGCGCACGAGCCCCCCCAAAGCAACAAGAACAGCAACAACCACAACAACAACAACAACAACAACGGCAGCAACAACAGCAACAATCATTTTACCCGAACGCTCAGTGTTCTCCCCAGTGCCAGGGTTTTCATGCGACGCCAGCCAATACCCCCACTTCGTGGGGGGGCAATGCAAGCTCTACCAAACATCCACACGACTCTCGGGAACCACCCACACCCAGCTTCCCGCCCTATGACGTCAGGACACTTCACTTCGTGGCGCGCGGACGATCGTGGATACTACACTGGCGTGGAGTACACACCCGCAGAGGTTGATCACTTGTTTGGGCCCCGCATGTGCCCCGCATGGTGCATTTGTTGCGTATGACATACATAGTACAGAGAGACAGAGAGAGAGAGAGAGAGAGAGAGAGAGAGAGCAAGACAGAGAGCCAGTGGAGAGAGAGATAGAAAGAGATTCGTCACATGTGTGAGGCAACCTGAGAAGATGTGGTACACGGTACACGTGAGATGGTACGCAGTGCCAAGATAGTTGGTCACATTTTTGAGGCAAATTCCTGGGAAGGCGATTACACAAGTAGATGTGTTACGTATGATAGATATGAAGCAGAGAAAGAGCGAGAGACAGAGAGAAGGAGAGAGAGGAGTCGGTCACATCTTTAGGGCAACTTCCTGAGGGATGTGGGAGGACACAAGAGAGAAGGTATCGTTGTCCCGATGGTTGTCTCGATGGTTGCCCCGATGGTTGTCCTGATGGTTATGGTTGTCCCGATCGTTATCCCGATGCTTGTCCAAATGGTTGTCCCGATGGTTGTGGTTGTCCCGATGGCTGTCCCGCTGCGATGCAATGTTGTCTGTTTCTGCTGTTATACAGTCCCAAGGATGACGCATGCATTGCTCATACACTGGTGGCGCTGTGATCCTAACTCTCACTGCCCAACGCGCGCGTGCACAGCCAGACGGAGGGAGAGAAAGTACACAAGGTTCGTGACATACGCACGGTCCACCATGTTCTAAACGATCACATGCACGTTTAGTTCTGAAATTATACATATGTACAAGCAGACATGCGAGGGAGACAGGGAGATGGCCATCGACAGTTCCAATACGGCTCCGAGGCGCAAGAGGGGGAGGAGGAGCAGGACAAGGAGGAAAGGAGAGAAGCGAGAAAGGAATAACGCAGACGGCGCGGCTCTGGACACAAAGGGGTGCCATACTTTCTCCTGCTGTCGCAAACAGGTCCAGTCACACGTAGGAGTATACTCACCCAGAAGCATACTAAGGCGACTCGTCGTCTGCGACGTCGCAAAGGCGCTTGGGTACATGGCTGCCTGGCTGATGCAGGTGCGGGCCTGGCTGATACCCGGGCCTCTTGGGGGCTTATTGGATCCTCCCGGAGGACTCTTGGAGCCGCTTGGACGCCTCCTGGGGCCATCTTGGGGGCCTCTTGGAGCCAACTTGGAGCCTCTTTGGAACCTCTTGGGGGCCTCTTGGAGTCCTCTTGGGGCCTCTTGGGACCATCTTGGGCGCCTCTTGCGGCCTCATGGGCGCCTCTTGGGGCCATCTTGAGCGCCTCTTGGGGCCATCTTGGGTTTTAAAGATTCATGAAGAGC